TACATGTCATTTCTTGTTTTCAGGTGACCGGTGTGAGTTTGACCGGCGGCAGGGCAGGTGTGTTCCAGGCGTTTGTCGTAACGGAGGAACGTGTCGGGAGCTTTCAGGTGGAGGTTTCCGCTGCGAGTGTCCCGCCGGAGGCTACGAGCGTCCGTACTGCACCGTCACCGCTCGGTCCTTCCAACCCAAATCCTTCGCCATGTTCCGGGGCCTCCGACAGAGATTTCACCTCTCCATCTCGTTGACGTGAGTAGGCTGAGAAGACTTTCAGTTTTCCGTTTGGATTTTTCTGCCTCCTCTCCTCGTTTCCTTTCTCTTGCCTCCCATCTCGTCTCTCTCAGAGATCCATAAGCACTCCTCTCTGATTCTCAGTTCTCTCCTCTCGCAGAGTCTCTCTCCTCTTCGCTTTAATCTATTTATCTCATCTCCGTCTCAGGGATCGATCCTATTATTCATGGGTTCGTCTGTCTTTGCTGCTTCCACCTCTCTCCAGCGAGAGAACTGCGGTTTCTTTCCATCGCTCCTCTTTCATCTGTCAATTTACTGGTTTCAGTAACATCTCATTTGCTTTCTCTCTTGTTCTTATCTTACATCTGATCATGCTTTCAGTCTTGAATGTTTCAGGAAAGGCTCCATAGGATGGTGACCTCATTCTATTTCTATAAAAGGGGCCAGAACTTTCATTTAAAGTGATATAGCAGCTACCGAGCCAGTCCATTAGTGCAGAAAGTTCAAACGCTTCACTTAATGCATCAAAACATAAATAAAGTCGTGGATTTCTATCTTGTCGGTGCTCAAAATCAGGCTCGCTCTCGGATTGTTGCAAAGGCTTTTAAGCTTCTCTGAGTTTTTTTTCTCTGCTTCAGTTTGAAATCTCCAAATGAAGCGATCATTGATCCACATTGACCTGCAGATACACATGAGTTAATGCGGCCTTTCATTACAATTGATTTGTTTGAGTTACTGAGGAATAAATATGATGCTGATGTTAGAACAAAGGTCAGCCATTCCTACTTTATTTTAGCACCGTCGTCTTTTTCGTCCATCGTCGTCTTTTTCGTCCACCGTCTTTCCCTGCGCCGCTCCTTCGCCTTCTTCACATGCCGAGTGGCTGTCAATGGGAGATCTGAAGTGGTCCTTCAGAGCGGTCAGGCGGGGGGGCTATGGGATGGTTGCCATGGGCGATGTCGTCTAATGATAGTTGCTAAGGCGATGTTGCCCATGGGGTTGTTGCTAGGCTGACGCGGCCACCGTCGGAGCGGTTGCTACGAGACTTAACGGTGGCGGTATTTGTCGACAAATGAGCATTGTTAGAGTGTTAAAGCACAACATGTGATTTGTTGCATTGATCTGCAGCCACCATTTGGACAGCGATGGTGAGCCGAGGCTTCATATATGATTAGAGGGTTTCTTTCTTGAAGAAAAGCACACTTTACGAGCACTTGACAGGTTTTTTGTTAGCATTTCTACAGTGAGATGACTTCTATGTAGGGAAATGTTGGCGGCCACGGTGGCAGTTTGTGGTTTAAAATTCCCAAACTAGGTGGGAAGACTGGGGGAATAAAGTCTGATCTGTTTCCTTTCAACAAATGCAAAGTGGCCTTCAATAAGGGGATAATGTGAAGCAGCACTGCACTGTTCTACACTCAGTCAAACACATTTGCATCTTAAAGTTTCATCTTCAAACTACAGCGTTCTCAAACTAACGCTCAAAAGATGTTTTCAAGACGTAATTTAAAATATGAACAAAGGTGGAGCATTTTGTCTGCAATGTTCTGAGGATGTTTTGAGGAAGTCCTCAATGCGACATTTAGAATTTTGTTTTTAGGATTTTATAATCATTCTGGGAACTAAAAGAAAACGCTACTAAAGACAGCATTACTAGGACATTGCAGAACTTTCTCAGTACGTTCTAAAAGTCTAGCTGGGTTTCCACATCAGGGTCTAACACAGGGGTGCCCAATCCTGGTCCTCGAGGGCCACAATCCTGCATGTTTTAGATGTTTCCCTCTTCCAACACACCTGATTCAAATGATCAGCTCATCATCAAGCTCTGCAGAAGTCTGATAACGATCCTGATCATTTGAATTAGGTGTGTTGGAAGAGGGACACATCTAAAACATGCAGGACTGTGGCCCTCGAGGACCAGGATTGCCCACCCCTGGTCTAGCAGGACTAGACTTTCTGAAGCTGTAACTAGATTTGCAAACCAGTTGGAGAGTTTTCTTCTAACAGAGTTTCTGTTTGTTATAAAACAAGCAGTGGAGCGCCACTTGAGGATACTGCTGTGAAACTACAGCAGAACATAACTTTCAGCCAAAATATGAGGACTGCTGATTCAAACGACATCCTGGACTTCCTCAGTGAACCCGCCGATGTGACACAGATCAGGTGAAGGGTTGTTAAAAACAGATGGACGGAGATTCCTTCCTTTGTTAGTGAGATTTTCTGTTGTGCTTGAAATTGTCACTGGACTCTAGGCTGAAATAGTTATAGTAATAACCCTCTGAATCCCGAGCAGTTTCTACTCACTGTGGGCTCATTTTTCACAATATAAAGTCCTGCACCTGTCTGGAAACAACACAACCATGACTAGAAGTAGAGAGATGAGGGTTGTCATCTGTGTGGTGCTGATAAAGTTATAAAGCGGAAGTCCAAACAAAAAGCAAAAGCTGGTCTTAAAAAACCTGCTACAAGATATTAGCAAAACTTGAAAAAAATGGTGGCTCTACATGCTATATATATATATTTTCTTTTTACTACTGGCCTCTTAATAATACCAATAATTTGATATAAGTGTTTTATTCTTGACCAATTATTTTAATGAGACATGTAGAAAAAAGTGATTTTGATAAAACATCTCATTTCCAAGCTTAGACTTTTTTTTTAGTTTTCTGAAGGAATGTCAAGTCACAGATGAGTTCAAGGACTGTTGGAAAACTAAAAATCTGACTGTTTGTACAGCTTCTGGATCTGATAAATGGTGTCATTTTGGTTTTTGTTTTTAAGATGATAGATAGATGATGATAGATTTACTTTATTGTCAGTCAATTAGTAGAAGAAATTAAAATGCACCTAGAGTGAAATTACAAGGTCACAGACACGATAGAAAAACCTAGACGTAGCAAAAGGCAAAGACCGATACCCAAATAAATAAACCATTTTAGATTGGGCCTAAAAAACATCATGATGCTGCCACTGCCGTGCTTCACAGTGAGGATGGAGTTAGTAATGATGTAGTCTGATGGTGTGAAAGCTCCATTTTGGTCTCTTCAAATCTGAGTTTCGTCTTCCAGTTGACCTTGGAGTGCTTTCTGTAGAACTCTAGTTGGGATTTAATATGAGATTTTTCAACAGTGGCTTTATTAACGATAACTTTCCTGTCAAACCCAAAAGCAGGTTTTGGGGTCCAAAGAGTTGAACAATAAAAATCCAGATCGACATGTACTCCTTCATTTTGTTGCTTTTCATAAAAAGTTGCTTCATGTTTATTATTTTTATGCAGCTCTTGACTTTAAATAATTTATGTCACCAATAATAATCACATTAACAAGAAGCGACAGAACTTAGAAAACATGTTTCTCTGCATTTATTTGCTTCTTCAGCTTCTCTGCTTCGCTGACTTCACTCATAATCCCCGTTTACACTCACACAGCTCAGGCTGCGCTATTTTTCAGCTATTTCTGGGAGCTTGCTGAGATAATATCTGCACACAACAAGATAGGTAGCGGGAACTACAGCGGAGGAACGCAAACACAAGCCTGCTATTGAGTAACACTGGGCTTGTTTTAAATGACGGCAGCCTGCTCAGATAACAGGAGTGTGAGGTTTTTAGGAGTGAACCGGCGATAACGTGCTCCTCTCTGCAGCACATCTCCCTACACGGCTGTAATGTATCTGTTGTTAAGGCTCCATTGATCTTTGGTGTCTTTGGCTAAAAATGGAAAATGCAGATTTTTATTCACTCAACGAAATAGGAAGCAGTCAGAACATTCTTCTTCTTCTTTTTCTTCAGGGACTTAAAGGAGTTTCATATGGCAGACATTTATAACCCTGCAGCTCCAGGGCTGCTGTTCCTGTAGCTGAACCCGACCTTTAATATCTGTGAACTTCTGGATTTATTTTTGACTCTCTGGTGCAGTTGGGTTCTATCCAGTTTTTGACATCACTGAGGCTTACTGAAGAAGGGCGGGGGAGACGCCTGGAGGGTGTCAGGTGCCAAATGCATTACATGTCTGAGCCCAGGAATTAAAAGTTTAGCAGTTTAATAGTTGTGAAAATGATGCTCTTTTAATATTTGGTTGCATTTGTAAAACAAGATGACGACACCCTGTTGAGAGTGGCTGTTCTTGTATCTTGGAGAGGATATTTGTCATTTGTGCCACAGAGAATAGCCTGTTTTATGTCCAGGAATAAGGTTTAATAACTGAGGTACCGTTTGAATACCTTTTGTTCATCCGTACTAAGTGGGAGCCTCCAGTTTTTGCTCAGCTGTGGGAAATGAGGTTTTGTATCGCTGCTGTATCGAGGTCAAACGCTGCATTAACCGAGCCAAGAGTTAGAAATCTCATCTGAAAATGTAGCGTGCCATCATCTTCCCTGGAAAATATTTAAATATAATGCAAGCGCTCATACTGCATGAATATATATTCAGCAATAAACCCGTCACGGACACTGATTTCCGTGTGTGTGCGTTTTCCAGCTTTGCCACCTTGGAGAGCAGCGGCCTTCTCTTCTACAACGGACGCTTCAATGAGAAGCACGACTTCATCGCCTTGGAGATCCAGGAGGGACAAGTGGTGTTCAAATATTCCACAGGTACTGCAGCCATATCTTGTGCTCACACTTGTGTTCTCTGGTCTGTTTGTATTCCCACAAGAGAAGCTTGTGGGAATAAAAACAGACACCGTATGACCATATGTTCGCTGTGTTTGGTTCATGTGTTTGGATGTTTTTCAGGAACGTGTGCAGACTGTGAAAACATATTTCTCTCCTGGGAAATGAGATGTATTTATCTATCTGCCTGTGGCCTCAGGGACTGAATACTGTCAGTCATGGTCCTAGCAGACACACTAATGATGACAGAAGTTCGGGGTGTTTGTACATATTGTGTATGTATTTGCTGCGTGCGCACATATGAAGCTGGAAGCAGGAGGATGTATAAAAGTTACATAAGAATAATGATGAGAATGCACTTTAATCCGATGAGGACGTGTTCACAGCCCCCCCCTCATCTCTATATCAAAAACACAGACATATGTGGTATTGTAGGATTCAGGAATTCCTCATCTTTGCAAAAATATTATTTTTTTTTAATTTTATTCCTAATATATTAGGCATGAGAGCAGCCTATAGACACACTTTGCAAAGTTTCGATGGCCGCTATAGGTCAGGTAATGCAGCATTTTGATAGCGAAAGTTGCTTCATTACAGATTTTCTGTACATTTTTTATGCAGAAACTTCTTTTTATTATGTTAGGCATCCAGAGTCTTTAAGCATTTTTTTTACAGACTGCATAGACCCACTACTACAGAGTCTTTAAGGAGCTTGGGCTTGATTTAATAGGATATGATAAGATTAAACCTTATTAATCCCAAAGAAAATTGCTCAGAAAAAACCTAAATGTCATAACATAAGAAATGCAGGGCCTAAACAGTAGAATAGAATAGAACAGAATAGAGTGCTTTTTATTGTCATCATGCACAACTCCGTGGTGCAAACGTATAAAAGTAAAAGTATAAAAAGACAAATAAGAATATATACATGTAACTACAAAAGGAGCCAGTAGGAAGTATGTACAGGTAGCCAACGGTAGAATAAATATGTTGCACTGTTGAGGTAGGAACACTGTGGATATATGAGAAATATAAATAATATGAATACATAATTATTATAAGTAATATAATATATATAAAATATATAAAAAATATAGAATATAGAATAGTATAATATATCATAATTAAAACATAATTAGAATATAATATATATAGTATAGTATAGGATAAATAATGAATATATGTGATAAATAGTTCAGACTATAGACTAATGTGAGTTCAGTACCTGTATTGCACTTGGGTAGAATGTGTTGGTGAGCCTTGATGAACCGGTACCTCATCCCTGAGGGCAGCAGTGAGAACAGGTCGGGGTGTGAACCATTGAAGGTGATGCTTCTGGCCCTGCGCAGTCATCTGGTGTCATAAATGTCTGACAGAGAGGACAGCAATAAAATCTAAGTTAAAAAACAAGAGTGAAATAAATAAGCTTAAACAAGGCTAGACTGGAACAGTACAAAGTCATGTTCNAGTGCATCTTTGTACTATTTTTTAAAAAATAAACAAAAAAACTCTCTGAATTATGTTTGATGTAATGAAAAAAGTTTGATTTGTATCCAGAACTACAGAGTTTTAACATAAAAGTGCACATAAATATAAACCTAATGTTCAATATGTACTAAATATGTACTAATTAGGGGGGTGGGACTTTAACGCGTTAATTGCGATTAATTAATTACAGCAAAAATAACGCGTTATAAAAATTTGTCGCTATCCAGGACTGCTAACAGCTCCGGCGGTTTCTGTGCTCGCTGCAACATGCATTCAGGTCGTACCGTCAGCTGGATGTGCTTCGGTGGGATGCAAATTCTTTTTTGCAAAAGTTGCACAAAACCACGCTCGTGTCAAGGCCTCCATCAGGCAGTTTTTTAAAAATGAAACTTGCCCTCCATCAGTCCAAACAATGCACTCTTATCGGATTCCTCCATGTTTGTTGTTAGCGTAGCGCTAACACATCTTGTGCATCACTGTGATCGGTGGACCATGAAATCAGGCGCTGACAAACGTTCCGTGTTGTCTGGATGCAAACTGCGATTAAATGCTTTAACTTTTTGAATGCTTTTTTTGTTGTAATTAATTAATTGTACTTAATGCTTTAAAGTATATTAGCAGTGGGACTTCAACGCGCTATTTAATTGACGTGTTAATTGAAAAGTCCCATCCCAGTACTTACACTACAAGAGTTAGCTTAAAATTACAAAGACAAACAAATAAATTGACAGTATGTATACACGACTCTTTATAAAAAGAGCTTGAGTTTAATTACACATAATTAATAGATAGATAGATAGATAGATAGATAGATAGATAGATAGATAGATGCTTTATTCATTCTCTTGGGGGAATTTCAAGGTGTCCTGTAGCTCAAACATGTTGCATTAGGGAACTTGAGGTGACCAGTGTGCAAAAGAATGTGCAAATGGACAAATGAAGTGCAAATATCGCTTGTATTATCAATAAAGGTGCAAAAATGCTGGTATTTATAATTGAAAAAAAGTTAAAAAAAAAAGTAAAAGTATGCTTAAAAAATAGAAATAATACTAAGGATATAATTTACCCAGGATTTTTTGTTTTTATTGCAGAATTGTCACTTTACTCACATTTGTATGTAAATTTTAAAAAGCAGAAAAAATACTGTATAAATATAATAGTAAAAGGTCTGTTTTGGATTATTAGAATAATACTCAAAGCAAGTGTTGGGCTGATAATTTACAGATACTTTTCTATACAATTATAAAACATAGAAAGTGCTGCAACATGTGCTATTTTTTGTTAAAATTGCGATTTTTTTTGTTTTTTTTACAGTGTAATCTGCATCAGGGGTGCATTTCAAACCTGGCTGTGTGTGTTTGTACAGTCTCGCTGTCTCTCTCTGTTTATGACTTTGTGCATTTATGAGTGTGGTCACAAGTTGCCCTCGAGTGTCTCCAGTGTGTGGCTCAGCTTTAACGGTGTGTGAAAGATCGTCTCCGTGCGTCCACGTCTTGTGCGTGTCAGATAATATTTGCCTCCCAATGATCGTGAGGAAAGGTGAAGACTTTTGTTGACTTAAAACCACAATGTGTGTGTGTGTGTGTGTGTGTGTGTGTGTTTGTTTGTATTTGTGTGTCTTGCTGTTTCGATGCCACTGGGCACTTTGGCATCTTAAAGCACCACAAACAAAAGTGCCAAGCGAGACAGTTACATGATAAAACCCGACAGCCTCCAAGGCAGGGGCAATGATCCATGTGTGTTTGTGTGTTTGTGTGTTTGTGTGTCTGTGTGCGAGAGAGAGAGAAAAGAAAGGAAAAAATGAGACTGGATGTGTGTTTATGTCTGTTTGAGTTAGAAAAAAAGAAAAATTAGTATCACATTCATTATTGATGTGTTTGCATTTGGGTTTGTTTATTCGGTATCTTACTTTGTGTGTGTGTTTGTGTGTGTTTGGAGCCGTCAGCAGGTTCTAAAGTGGGTCCTTAAGGAGCCATCTGTCTTGAGGCGAGTTTCAAACCCTGTCTGCTCTGCTTATGTGGAGGGCACTGGGTGTGGGTGTTGTTTTTTGTGTGCAGCTGCTAAGTGTCAGACAATGTGTGTGTCCAAATTTGCCCAAGGAGAGGCGAAACTGAAAAAGAAGAAAAAAAGTCAGCGTGTTGTTGCTACACACACCTTTTAATGCAGGAGACTGTGTGTGTGTGTGTGTGTGTTGCGTGGGTGTTTCTGCCTCTCGAGACTCTCTAGACTTGTTTGACTGGCAGCCAAATCAGTGTTTATTCTCATCTGCACATTTCTTGTTTGTTTGTTTTCTGCACAATACTGAAGTAACAGAATCCAAGTCAGCAGGAAAACACATTTTTACCCCCTTTTATCCTGAACAGATACGTTTTCCAATATTCTACATCTTTGCCAGGTGAAAACTTGCAACTGTAATTTTGTTGTTTGCTTTTTCTCTCTTGCGGTTGTCATGTGCAACAGCTGCTCTTACTCCTGCTGCCTCAGGAATCAGCCCCCTTGCTGATTTCACCCTCTAATCACGGATTGATTTACATCCAAAGAGACCTGCAGCTCTCCGTTCAACCTGTCAGAACCGCTGATTTATAGGTTGGGAAGCGTTCAAGACCCTCACATGAAGTAGCCTCCTTCAACAGCGTGCAGTCGTGAAGACGCCTCTCGACTGAAATAACACATCCTCTGCTGCTGAATGCCCTCAAAGCCGCAGTGATTGGGAATAGCTGATTGCATTTCTGAATGCATCACTTACATACTCTTGGAGTGAAAAGACGCGGTCAGTCTCGCTGCCATTTTGTTTGTGCAGCTTGATGATTTTCCTTTTGATGACTATCCAACTGCTTAATCTTGTAGAGGGTCATGAAGACTTCACACAGAAAAGGCTGATCTGACCGTATCCAGCCTGTTTTCAAACAGATTTTAAGCTGAGATTTAGTTATTGTTCCTGTTTTATCTACAATTTTGTAAAGACAACATGCCTGTTAAACCTGCCACTGGGTTTTGGTGTTCTGAAGGTTACTATAGGGCGTTTCAGAGCTGTGCTTGCTTTGCGAACCAACGTAAGCAGTTACCAATCTAATCTCAGAAGATAATAATTCAACTCAACAATGTTCTTTGCATAACTGTTGGAGCTCTGTTGGATTGCACAAGAATTGTTATAAAACTGCACTTTTCAAGTCCAACCACAAATTCTAACTTGAATGAGTTGAGGTCTGGGCTCTGGTTCAGCCACTACATGACGTTCACTTTGGTGTCTTAAAACCACTTCTGTGTAGTTTTGGCAGCATGTTTCCGCTCATCGTCTCATCGTCAGACTGCATCAGGTTATCCTCCTGGATTTCTATATGCTTTGGGGCGGCTGTGGCTCAGGTGGTAGAGTGGGTTGTCCACTGATGGCAAGGTTGGCGGTTCGATCCCTGGTCCCCCTACATGCCCAAGTGTCCTTGGGCAAGACACTGAACCCCCAAGTTTTTTCACCCAAGTTGCTCCCAATGGCACATTAGTGCCTTGCATGGCAGCTCTGTCTTCATTGGTGTGTGAATGGGTGAATGCGAAACACATTGTAAAGCGCCTTGGGTACCGCTAAGGTAGAAAAAGGTGCTATATAAGTGCAGACCATTTACCATTTACCATTTGCTAAATTCATTGTAGTTTGCAAGCTTTCCAGGACCTGTTGTTGAGAAGCATCCCCATATAATGATGCTGTCACCTCCGTGCTTCACAGTGGGGACAGTGTGTTTGTAACGATGCACAGTGTTTTTGGCCATCGGCATCTAGTCTGATGACCAAAAAGCTCAATTTGGGTCTCAATAAGCCAAATAATCTTCTTCCAGTTGACTTCAGAGTCTCAGTCATGCCTTCTGGGGAACTCTGGTCAAGATTTAATATAAGCTTTTTTCAACAGTGACTTTCTGTTTGGGCTGCGAGGTGGCTCGGTGGTTAGCACTGTTGCCTTGCAGCTAGAAGGTCCTGGTTCACGTCCCGGTGAGGACACCCGGGATCTTTCTGCATGGTCTCCATGTTCTCCCCGTGCAGCGTGGGTTCTCTCCGGGTTTTCCGGCTTCCTCCCACACAGTCCAAAAACATGTTGAGGTTAATTGGTGATTCTAAATTGTCCGTAGGTGTGAATGTGAGTGTGCTTGGTTGTNCCTACTACAGAGTCTTTAAGGAGCTTGGGCTTGATTTAATAGGATATGATAAGATTAAACCTTATTAATCCCAAAGAAAATTGCTCAGAAAAAACCTAAATGTCATAACATAAGAAATGCAGGGCCTAAACAGTAGAATAGAATAGAACAGAATAGAGTGCTTTTTATTGTCATCATGCACAACTCCGTGGTGCAAACGTATAAAAGTAAAAGTATAAAAAGACAAATAAGAATATATACATGTATTTACAAAAGGAGCCAGTAGGAAGTATGTACAGGTAGCCAACGGTAGAATAAATATGTTGCACTGTTGAGGTAGGAACACTGTGGATATATGAGAAATATAAATAATATGAATAAAAAATTATTAGAAGTAATATAATATATATAAAATATATACAAAATATAGAATAGTATAAAATAGTATAATATATAATAATTAAAGCATAATTAGAATATAATATATATAGTATAGTATAGGATAAATAATGAATATATGTGATAAATAGTTCAGACTATAGACTAATGTGAGTTCAGTACCTGTATTGCACTTGGGTAGAATGTGTTGGTGAGCCTTGATGAACCGGTACCTCTTCCCTGAGGGCAGCAGTGAGAACAGGTCGGGGTGTGAACCATCCAAGGTGATGCTTCTGGCCCTGCACAGACATCTGGTGTCATAGATGTCTGACAGAGAGGACAGCAATAAGATATAAGTAAAAAACAAGAGTGACATAAATAAGTAAGCTTACTAGTAAGCTAGACTAGAACAGTACAAAGTAATGTTCAAAATTATACTGAGGTAATAAATAATGCTGCACATGATAATGAAATATTGCACATCACATCAGGCCTGGAAGTGAAATATTAGTCATATCATCAAAATGTTGAAAAAGATCAAATATGAGGCTTTTTTTTTCTTATTTTTGCTCCAAACTTGGGGAGAAGCAAAAAACTTGATGTATTTTTTAAACGCCAAAACAAATAAATCCATTTTATTTCGTACTTATTCGAGGTTTTATCTGCATAACTTGAACTTCCCTGCTGCTGTGCCTGCAGGTGAGTCGTCCACTCAGGTGAGTCCCTACCTGCCCGGCGGAGTGAGCGACGGAAACTGGCACACGGTCCACATCCACTACTACAACAAGGTGGGCCCACGCCTCAGCGCCTTTGTGTTTTTTCTTCCAACCATTTTGACTCCACGTTTGATCTTCCATTTGCGGATGCCTGTTTGATGAGAGATCTGTTGAAGCTGATTCTCACAGTTTGTTGTTATTTGTGCTTCTGATGCACAATAGTTCCTCGTGCCGACTTTGCACTTTGAGCTCAGGCGTTTGTTGCCAATACGTGGGCGTTTGCTCGTCACCGTTTTATTCATGCCGCACATCTCCTTTAATTTTCTTCATGTTCTTTCATTTCCCTCAGCCAGCTATACGCTATGTGAGTATGAGTGTGCGTCAGGGTGCACATACACTCCTTTACCCCTCAGTTCCTTCCTCCTTTGTTTTTCTGTTCTTCTTCCACCTGCAGCCAGTAAGTGAAGAGTGAGTGTGTTCACTGTCTCTGTCTGCTTTGTTTTCTTCCCCACATGTTGTTATTTCTTATCCTACTAACTCAGATTTTCCCCCTTCTCTTCCTAACCAACTGCACAGTAGCAGTGTAAATGTGTTGAACCTGTTCTCTTGGTGGTGGAGTGTCTGATTGCAGTGATTTAACCTCTAGGTTTAGTAAATGCTGTTCTTGCATGTTGACTGGTGTCATGGTGGTTTTTTTTTTTTATTTTGACGTTTTCTGTTTCTTTGGACTCAATCTTGTCTGTATGTGTGTTCAGCCCAAGCGCAGTATGAGCGGTGAAGCTCAGGGTCCGTCGGATGAGAAGATTGCTGTGGTCAGCGTTGATGACTGCGATACGTCGCTGTCGCTCCGCTTCGGAACGCAGCTCGGAAATTATAGCTGCGCGGCGCAGGGCAAACAGACCAGCAGCAAGAAGTGAGTTTCTCTTTCTGTCAGCTCTTCATCTTCTTTTATTCGCTGCGTCTTTACTGTTTCTCTGTTTTGAAAGGGCGACTTTTCACGAATCCTGAATGGAAAGTGGTGCCGAAGATGGCTGGTTGCATGAAAAATGTCCCTCAAAAAGGCAGAATCTCTGCTTTGTAACAACCCAAGCACTAAATATCCAGCTGTGCTGCTGCTCTGACACAAACAAAAAACTGGAGAAATGTATTTTAGGGCAAAGTCACCAAACTTTTTAGTATTTTCTAACCAGATTTCTCTGCTGCTGATTTTATGAAGCTTTCATGTTGCAACAACCATTCAAATTTCAGGCATTCCTCTCTTTTCATTCATTTGGATAGAAACCTGGTCTAAAATAGCTGCCTGAAGGCATTACTAACGATGGCCCCAAGTTATCTAATAGGATACTTAAATGATAATGATTCATCTGGTCCTACATCTGGTACAACAAAACAGTTACAGGTGCAGTCAGAGCACATGTCCTGTAAATCTGAAATACAACCTGCAGTATGAACCCAGAACCTGGATTTTACTTTATGTATTTCTAGTTAGCCTCATAACATTCTAAATAAACTATAGTATCAACAAAATGATCTTTTGCCGTAATCATTTTGCCAAGAAAGTCAAAAGCAGTTGTAGTCGTAGTTTAAACGTTTAAACTCCATCTGAGGTTAAAACTCGTCTTTGTATCCTAAAGTTACATATTTAATAGTTTTTCNAGAGTTTTCATCCTCTTTAAATCCTAAAAGCCACAAGTAAAGGGTTAATAAGGGAGTCAAGCTGTGCACTTGAAACAGCTGTAAATTAAAACTAAGTGCATTTTTGATGTGGGACATAAAACACGAGAAGAGAATTTTACCACACATTAAATGTTGCTCCACTAACTTACATTAAGGGTGAAAACATTGTGTTCCTGGTATGTCTTTGGTAACGGCTCATTCTAGAGCATCGTTTAACTTCAAGCATGACTTTCTTATGGCTTCATCAGCGGACTATTAAAATTAAGATAATATTTTATCTAATTTAAATCCGTCGTGTAAATCACAGGAACTTGATTGGAATTTAAAGTGAAGCCCTGTCGGTCTGAGCCACGCTCGGCTGCACAGCGTCTGTTTGTTTTGATGGACTTGCCAGTGAGTGCAGTGAGGTCAGAGCTGGTGAATATTAATCGCCTGAAATCTTTGAGAACTGCCCGGGTACCGAAAAGAAATGTGGCTTTTTTTTTTTTTTGGCTTAAACATTTTAGTATTAGCACAGGAAAGAGAGCTGAAAGTGTTCAGATCTAATTAGTATGTGCATACAGTAAAAATACAACCTGATTGAATGACAAATGTTCAGGCGTTTTCATTTATTTAAAATATGTTGAGATGTTATATATATATATAAATATATATACTGTATTTTTCCACCCTAAATTACAGGAAAATTACATAAAATAACGATAATTATCTGAAATGAAACACATCTCTTTATATTGAGTTTTATGAATAGATAATGACATTAATACTGTTCCCTGCAATTTTCAGGTAATCTAATTACTTTGTCGCCTCACCGTGCTCTCACGGCTGCTATTTTTCTGTCCTATGAATATTTAATTAAGGTATTTAGTGTTTGAAAAAAAACTCTTTTGGTTTTTAAACTCCTCCTGAAGGGCTTTGCAGACTTTTTCTGAAAAACTGGTTAACATTGTAAATTTTCATCAAACTAAATCAAACAAAAAAGCTTTGGAATCGGTAGTGGCTTGTACTTTATTTGTCCTCCAAAACAGTTATTTAACAGTCTTAAGAATGTGTTAACACCTCTATTGAAGGTGTTTAGTCATAATAATTTAGGCCAGATCTGTAAAATACAGCTGTTTACTGAAGAAGTTTAAGGTCTGTCTGTTTTTTTTTAGGTGTTTGATTGTAATAAATCAAGAAAAATAAGTAAAACAAGTGTTTGTCTGCAAAACATGAAATGGAAAGGTCTTGCTTTTGCTTTTTTTTTTTTTTTTGCTGTTTTTGCCGTTACCTGTCACTGGACTTGTTTTTACAGTGTAGCTGTAATGCTAAAGTTTAGCATAGTTGTTTTATTTTGTTTGTTTGTTTGTTTATTTGTTGTTACTAGTTTTACTACTACGGAGTCACATGACAGATTATAGGACTGTTGGCCCTTTTTTGTAGCGGTGTTGTTGGAATTTGTAATGACGGTCGATAGAAGTTGAAATAATCCATACATGTCATTTCTTGTTTTCAGGTGACCGGTGTGAGTTCGACCGGCGGCAGGGCAGGTGTGTTCCAGGCGTTTGTCGTAACGGAGGAACGTGTCGGGAGCTTTCAGGTGGAGGTTTCCGCTGCGAGTGTCCCGCCGGAGGCTACGAGCGTCCGTACTGCACCGTCACCGCTCGGTCCTTCCAACCCAAATCCTTCGCCATGTTCCGGGGCCTCCGACAGAGATTTCACCTCTCCATCTCGTTGACGTGAGTAGGCTGAGAAGACTTTCAGTTTTCCGTTTGGATTTTTCTGCCTCCTCTCCTCGTTTCCTTTCTCTTGCCTCCCATCTCGTCTCTCTCAGAGATCCATAAGCACTCCTCTCTGATTCTCAGTTCTCTCCTCTCGCAGAGTCTCTCTCCTCTTCGCTTTAATCTATTTATCTCATCTCCGTCTCAGGGATCGATCCTATTATTCATGGGTTCGTCTGTCTTTGCTGCTTCCACCTCTCTCCAGCGAGAGAACTGCGGTTTCTTTCCATCGCTCCTCTTTCATCTGTCAATTTACTGGTTTCAGTAACATCTCATTTGCTTTCTCTCTTGTTCTTATCTTACATCTGATCATGCTTTCAGTCTTGAATGTTTCAGGAAAGGCTCCATAGGATGGTGACCTCATTCTATTTCTATAAAAGGGGCCAGAACTTTCATTTAAAGTGATATAGCAGCTACCGAGCCAGTCCATTAGTGCAGAAAGTTCAAACGCTTCACTTAATGCATCAAAACATAAATAAAGTCGTGGATTTCTATCTTGTCGGTGCTCAAAATCAGGCTCGCTCCTGGATTGTTGCAAAGGCTTTTAAGCTTCTCTGAGTTTTTTTTCTCTGCTTCAGTTTGAAATCTCCAAATGAAGCGATCATTGATCCACATTGACCTGCAGATACACATGAGTTAATGCGGCCTTTCATTACAATTGATTTGTTTGAGTTACTGAGGAATAAATATGATGCTGATGTTAGAACAAAGGTCAGCCATTCCTACTTTATTTTAGCACCGTCGTCTTTTTCGTCCATCGTCGTCTTTTTCGTCCACCGTCTTTCCCTGCGCCGCTCCTTCGCCTTCTTCACATGCCGAGTGGCTGTCAATGGGAGATCTGAAGTGGTCCTTCAGAGCGGTCAGGCGGGGGGGCTATGGGATGGTTGCCATGGGCGATGTCGTCTAATGATAGTTGCTAAGGCGATGTTGCCCATGGGGTTGTTGCTAGGCTGACGCGGCCACCGTCGGAGCGGTTGCTACGAGACTTAACGGTGGCGGTATTTGTCGACAAATGAGCATTGTTGGAGTGTTAAAGCACAACATGTGATTTGTTGCATTGATCTGCAGCCACCATTTGGACAGCGATGGTGAGCCGAGGCTTCATATATGATTAGAGGGTTTCTTTCTTGAAGAAAAGCACACTTTACGAGCACTTGACAGGTTTTTTGTTAGCATTTCTACAGTGCGATGACTTCTATGTAGGGAAATGTTGGCGGCCACGGTGGCAGTTTGTGGTTTAAAATTCCCAAACTAGGTGGGAAGACTGGGAATAAAGTATGATCTGTTTCCTTTCAACAAATGCAAAGTGGCCTTCAATAAGGGGATAATGTGAAGCAGCACTGCACTGTTCTGCACTCAGTCAAACACATTTGCATCTTAAAGTTTCATCTTCAAACTCCAGCGTTCTCAAACTAACGCTCAAAAGATGTTTTCAAGACGTAATTTAAAATATGAACAAAGGTGGAGCATTTNGGAGAACCCGGAGAGAACCCACACTGCACGGAGAGAACATGGAGACTCCATGCAGAAAGATCCTGGGTGTCCTCACCGGGATGCAAACTGGCGACCTTCTCGCTGCGAGGCAACGATGCTAACCACTGAACCACCCTGCAGCCCCGCTATAAATACTCCAACTTGAAAATGATTCTGAAGAAGAATAATGATGCACACGATCCCATCCTGCAAGCTGAAAGTTTTGGTTCTTTACGTTTGTTATGTAGAAAATCTGCAAAGTTTAAATCAGTGTTTTTAAGACGAACATCAGTGCGCTTAAGCTCCAAGGTGGAAATGCTCAGGTACAAGCTTATTATGCTCCTGATATGTCTTCCAGCACATAAAAAACACCGTATTACTAAATTACTAAGGTGAAAGTAAAAGCTTCATTTTCACTAGAGGGGGCCTTTAAGTTTAAGTCTTCATAGTTAACGACACAATATTCCAGTAACATTGTTGCTTAGCATCATAAATACCATAAACTTAACTTTTGACTTGCGTGCTGCCATTTGGAAAGACTTAACTTCTGACATTTATGATTGAAGAATAACTGTGACTCAAAAAGGTAAATTTGTTCCATCGATCTCTTGGGCTGTGAGCAGTCACTGACCCTGAGCTGTGGCTGGTGTTTGCCAGCGTCTTCGCAAAGACAACTTTCATTACACGCAATCTGTGACTGATCGGAGGCTTAGCAGATATTCAAAGGCACTTTTCACTAAGTAGAAAACCAATAAAGCTGTGCGGCGACGCGGCGGCCAGCTGGCAGCTGCCTGAACACGGAGGATGTTAGACTGTAAGGAGTCGAAAGGTAAATCATGCAGCGTGATCGGTGGAAGCGTTTCTATATTCGCAGATATTTAATTAGCCTGCAGAATAAACAGTGTCACTGCGGTTTATCTGTGGACATTTTCAGCATTTAGAGTCAATAACTATAATTGCTGGAGGAGATGTTTCCCAGCAGCTCCTCTCGTTGATTTTCCCGTTAGCTCTTAGTCATATCGACATGTTTTCTACGTCCGATTCCCCAAACTAATTCGTGCGCTCGCTGTCACAGCTGCTTGTCTCTGATGTCTGCTTTCACTTAACTGACTGCTCGAGTCTCGCTGATCAGAAACACCGAAATTACAAAATGAAAAGTAGCTGTTGCACATGATTTAGTGCAGATTAAAGCAGCCTAATCTGATAAAACCCTGCTCAAACTTCTGAAATCTGTTGCAGAGGATTTTCAGGCGAGCGATCAGGGTGTTGAGGTGACTGTAGAGGAAATCTATGGAGACCCGAGGCTTTAATGAGGCTTTGATGCTGCATCTTTTCTCCTCTTTGGCTCGTTCATCTCTCTTCGTTTACTCTCCTCTCGGCTCTGCGACCGAAACATTCAAATCGTCTGTTTTTAAAATGCACTCCATCGCATTGTCTGCTCTATTTGACCTTGTCAGAGTTTTGTGTTTTCTTTCGACTGCTGCCTCTCCACATACACAAAGTCTGTAGACACACACACATGCTCTCAGAAAGCGGCCTGTCACGGCGCTGATGTCTGGCCTCGCCTCTGAAAGCTGTAATCACGTTGGCTGTGTTCTGTCAGCACTCAGCGGAGCCGAGAAGAGAGAAGACGGATCAAAGACGAAGGCCAAACACTTCAACACTCTCTTCCATCCGCTCCTTTTTCATTTCTCCATTAGCAGCTCTCCCTCCTCTGACTCAGTCTCCTTTTCTAATGACTGTTGATATTTGTGGTAACTTGCACTTAGTCTCTTGTTTTGTTCCACCCTGCCATCTCTCGCCCCTCCATTCGTATTCTAGAATGCGAAGCGATCCGAAAGAGGGGGGAAAAAAAACCAAAACGCTCACTAAAAAAAAAAGGATAATGCTCTGAGAATGACAACTGTTTCTTGTTTTTTCTCTCTCGTGTGGCCCCTGCGACTGTCATTTGCTGTTTCTTCCTCCTCACATTTCCCCCCCGCTTCATTCCCCCACGTCCTCCATCTGTCTCGTCATCCGGCTCCGTCTCAACGCTTCCTATAACTCACGCTTAATCTCTTGTTTGTTCATCTGCCTCCCGAGCTGCATCCACGTGTCCCTTTCGCTGTTTTTTTCATCTCCTCCACCAAACATCCAGCGTCTCTTTTCTCGCTCTGCCTTGTCATCCACCTTTACCTCGTCTCTCCAGACATTCGCCGTAACTCGTATTTAATCTCCCGTTTGTTCATCTGCCTCTCCATCTGTCACCTTCTTCTCAATTTCTCTCCTCGTCTGCTGTTATCCTCAAATAAAAAACACATACAATCGTCATCCTCCTCGACTGTTGTTCTCAGATTCTTGTTCCGTTTGACATCCACCTCTGATGACACGTTTAATCTGGGTTCCTTTAATCCCTTCGTCTCCCATGTTCTGCATTTTCTTACCCTCCTTCCTCCTCTCTTAATCCCGCGTTCCGTCTTTAACCCTTTTTTCTTCCTGGTTCCTCAGGTCTCTGGATCTGACTGGTCCCTTATTTCTGGGCGGGGTCCCCAACGTGCCCGACAACTTCCCCTTCGGCACCAGAGAGTTCATCGGCTGCATGAAGGAGCTGCACATCGACAGCAAGCCGCTGGATCTGGCCGGATTCATCGCCAACAATGGAACTCTTCCCGGTTAGCGCTGCTAAACACGTTTACTGTCAGAAACACAACATTAGAATTAATTTGAAGCATTTGTTTTGGTGTTATTGGTTATAAACTGCCTATAAAAAGGCCATATCTTCAGATAAGCAGCCTTCAGATGACTAAACCTGAAAATGGTATGATGTATATAAATTAAAGGATCTACCTGTAATAATCCTACAAACACAACAATATGATAGCAATTCTTACCAAACTAATGTTTCATATAAAACTCAAGTGTTGTTTTCAAGAACACACACAGTTATCCTTAACGTTTTAAACATCTCTGCGGTGTAACATTATTTACTTAATTAAATTGTCGTTTCTCTTTTATTTTATGTCTTTATTTGATTAAGAGCAATAGAAAAAGAGACAGTTTGGGAATGATGTGCAATGAAATCAGTGTCTAATAAGCTGGAAATGCAAAAAGGGAATTTGCCTTTGTGCCATTAGGTATTTAAAAACAAATGAAACAAAAATAAAGTTCCTCAGGTGAACAGGGAAGCAAGTGGGGGCGAATGCATTGACATAATTCAATATATAGGAGCAAAGTTATGGTTTTGCTACCAAACTTTTTGTCTTTATAAAAATAAGCGTGTTCCTGTGATTATTAACTGATAATAGGATATTAATTGAAGCATCTCTTTAGGTGTTATGTGCCATAAACTGCAAACCACATTGGT